TATATATATTTATTTATTTATTTATTATTATTATTTTTTTTTCCAGAGATCCGAGCAACACTGGAGAAGGGGCCAAGATGAAATGAAATTCTGTCAGTAGTTCATTCTACTGAAACAAGAGGCATAGAGTATGAATAAGGAACAAATTTTGGAAGAATAAATTCTTGGTATATAACAATGATAGTAACACTGGAAACGTAAAATTTTCCTCAATTATGTTAGATAGCCACATAGTTTGACACAAAACTTGACACAATGATGTGGAAAATGGAAAAAAAAAAAATTTAATAAACAGAAAGAAAAAAATTGGCGCCGGTGAAAAACGTGTGAAATTTGAAATTTTTAAAATCGGCCCACTTGTTAAACCCGACCCAAAATGCCCGACCCAAGCCCATTTCATCTCCAATTCAGATTTTCAGTTTCCCTTTTTAGCTCATTTGGCTCTCTTATGTTGCCCTAAATGCCTCTACCCGACGACTTGAGTCTACCGTCATTTTGCGAAATGAGCTCTCCGTTTCAGATTCTCAGATCCCCCTAGCCGCTCACTTGGCTCTAAAATCTTCCCCGAAAAGCTTCTACTCTGCGACTCTGAATATACCGTCGACGGCACGCTCGTCCATTTGCCCTAATGTTACTAAGTTGCTATTCAATTGGTACCGATTAGCAGAGAGCTTAGGTGAAACACCGTCGAAATACTCAGTGTTTCAGTTCTGAGACGGTCAGGCACTTCTCGTTGATTCGTAATTGCTACCGCATATCGTCTTCGACCACACCTACAGATATCTCAGGTATATAAGTATGAAGTTCATGTTTCAATAAATGGGTTGAAATACCTTGTAGTGATATGACTTTAAAATCTGCAGATATGTGATTTTGTCCTAAATGATTTGTTATATGATTTCCTAAATTCATATCTGTACAATGGAGGAGTACGAAAAATGGAACCCTGCAGTAGTCCCCCCATAGACAAAATTGTTTCTCTTTTAACGTGTCCTTCACTAGGGAGTGAAAGGCTCATTTACTCCTGTAATATGCATATTTAGCTTCCAACTTAAATTGGAATGTTCACGAGTCATCTGGTTACTTTCCAGTGAATGTTCATGTTTCCTGCAGACAGAGAGAGATTAGTGTTGACTGAGGGAGTCATTTGGTTACTTTCCAGTGAATGTTGCTTCCAACTTATTTGCTTCTGTGAATTCATTTCATGTGTTGACTGAGGGAGTCTGAGATTATCCTTTTGTTTGGTGTTTGATCCCCAGGTTAAAATGAGAGGGAAGAATTATGGAGTATGCCATAGTTGTAGATTGAAGGGACATTTTTTTTGCGGAATGCCCGAATAAACGACCTTGCCCATGGTGTAAACATGCGTTTTTGAAGTGCTTCGAGGTGGAGAAGAACACTGAAAACAAAGGCAAATTGTTCGAAAGGTGCAGCGTGAAATGTGGTTATTGGGAGTGGGTGAAAACGAAGGAAACGGGTGCTGAATCAAGTTTAGTCACCAGCACTCCGGATCTGTCTTGCATGTTCGAAACACGATGCCGAATAACTGGTGATCAAGACATGGAGATTGCTATGAACGTGACCATACGCAAACGAGGAGAGCATGTCACCAAATGGGAGAAGAATGGACAATCGTCGGCCTGAGCTAAACTTTATTCGTTTCGAATGAAATTGTAACTCAAATTATGTAAATGAAATTATTGCTGGGAGTATCCAAATTATCCTGTATGCACTACAATCTTGAATTATCTTCCATAATGATATGTTCCGTTTCCTAGAAACTAATTTAACATACATCAGTTGTAAAGTTAAATATACTCGTCCAGAATGTGACAAAGAATGCTCTGTGGTCTAATGAGTTGTCAATTTCCATTGTGTTCTGTCATCAATTGGTTGCTCATGTTTTATTGTTTGGCCATTTACTTAAAAACTCGATGGCTTCTGTGCATTGTAGTTATGAAATTTATCTGCTCATGCAGCTGTTGTTCTTGTGGATTTGATTTAAACCTGCGTTCATCGAAGGCTTTGCTTATTGCCGTTGGTAGGTTAGTAGCAGCTTTATGTAACTTGTTTCTGTTGAATTTTTAAATAGAATATAATACAACTACTATGACTTATATCTATGTAGTAATTTATTGAGCTTTATGCTGGCAGCACTGAATTGGGAATGCAGTCATTGTTTTATATCTTTCTTTGAATTGGGAATGCAGCCAGATTACCCGTTGATCAAGCCAACTATGGGTCGACATGTTTGCCTAGTTAGCTCGTTAGGTCCCAATTATGTTGCGTTTTTGCCATGGGAGATATGGGTGCAAGTACAACACCAACAAATGCAGTAGAATGGTAAATCTTGAAATTGAAGCTAAAAAATGCTTGTCTTACATCAGAATGTAGGATAATCAAAGTATATTTTGTTCTAGTGCACAAAAGTTAAAACCGTGATCAATGTTTGAGTAGAAGTACAAACACAGTAGGACTTCGTGATGAAAAAATATTCAGCAAGAGCCTCTTTTAGTTCATCTGGGTTCCAGCAAGATAACCCTTTCCTCCAAAAGCTTCAAGCAGAACATGATATGCTGCACCAGGGACAAAAGAAGTAGGTGCTGGGTCGTCCTTGTAAGGACCAGTTATTTCATCATGGTCCCTCCGTAGGTGCATCCGTGTTTCCTCCTTCAAAATGCATTCCCAAACCTACATAATGAATATACATAATGAACAATTTTTGCAAAGCATTAATAAATATACATAATGAACATTTATTAGACGGTCTAACTTATTCACCTTCCATATTTAATGTAGGAGTTGTTGCCAATGAAGGGTTTAGACACGTGGATTGCAAGTGATGTGTGAACTGAAGATTTTGGTTCCCACCCTGCGTTAAATAGCATTATCAGTAAATACTACATTATCATTGAAGTCAAATCATTAACAAATGCTAACCAAAAGGAGGTTCGTATAGGAGAACGGTAGCGGCATGTGTAGTTGTTGAGGCGACTGGAGAATGGGCGCTGAAACCATTCCCATATCACTTCCAGGAACCTTCGTTTTCTTCCGTTTGTTAGAACCCGTACTTGCCTGCAAAACAAGGAATGTTCTTTGACATTATCCCTATACTGAGTTTGCAACAACCGAAAATATGCCACATTTGAGTATTACCTTGACTTTGCTCGAAATGGTTTCCAATGGGCTCTTCTTCCGAAGTTTCTTTGGGGCACCTTTTCTTTTCACATATTCTGGATCCCTTATGTTACCACTTCCAGTATCCTCTGGAGCTCCACATTGGAATGATGTCTGAGTCGTATGCGAGGAGAGGACATTACTATTAATACGATTTGTTTCCATCATCTCTTCACATTGACTGTCAATCCAATCAATTATTGCATCAGATTTCGCTTCATCTTCTGCTGTTAGATCGGCCAATGTCCCAAAGCGTTGACACATTTTGTCGTACTTCAATTGCCCTGGCGTACTAATCAAACCATCATAGCACACGGGTACCCTCGTGTGGGCCCTACTCACATCTCGTCGCCATCTCCGTAATATATATCTTTCGGGTATGGATTTCACATCATTACGGACCAATACTGCGATCATATGTCTGCAAATAATCCTTCGAAACTCAAAGTTGTGGCAACTGCAAGTGATTTCACATTCGTCTCTTTGAAATGAGACAAAAAAACTTTTTTTCTTCGAATGCTCGTCATATATTACATCCTCCCGTACCTCGTACGTTGCCCCCGATAATCCATCAGAGACAGAAACAAGGTCGCAGTACATTTTACCCGTGAACTCCTCTTGAACTTCCTTAAATTTCGAAATTGTGTAAACTGCTTGAAATTGCTTCTCAATTCCATATCTTGATGCGCATGGTATCATTTGCGAGAACGACTTGAAGTCTGCTTGAAACTCCTTCTCAACCTTGTTTCTCAATGCTTGTTCGTATTGTTCAACAAATTGCTTCAACGTCGTCTTCGAATGTACGTAACCATCAAAGAATGCATGCATACTCTCACTGCGTTGAGTAGTTGACATCCCTGCCCAGAATGTGGTTTTTAAATAGCAAGGTACCCAACGTTCTCTATTCTCGTACAAACCCGCCAACCACTCATTCTCATATAAGTGAAACCTTTCTACCATCACTCTCCAACCGTTTTCGAAATCTTCTACAAACTGACAATCGTAGACCAAACTGTGTATAGTAGCGAATATAGACCCCTTATCCGCATGGTATCCGAACTTCTCAGGCAACTTCTTCATTATGTGCCACAAACACCATCTATGCTTTGTATTGGGAAACACAATCTGGATTGCATTTTGCATAGCCCTATCCTGATCCGTAACTATCCCATGCGGAGCCACTCCATGCATGCATTGCAGCCAGGTTCGAAAAAGCCAGACAAATGTCTCTGTATCCTCATTCGAGACCAGACCACATCCAAGGAGTGTCGACTGTCCATGGTGGTTCACTCCAACAAAAGGAGCAAATGGCATATCGTACTTATTCGTGAGGTATGTGGTGTCAAATGTGACAACATCACCGAACTCCTTATATGCTTGCCTACTCCTATAGTCTGCCCAAAAAACATTCTTTAGACGCAAATCATCATCCAGATCTATACTAAAGTAAAAGCTCGCGCACTGTGCCTGCATTTTAGAGAAGTATGATTGTAGTGCTGATGCGTCCCCTTGTCCAAGTCTTAAACGCCTAACTTTCTCAACATAGTTACGACAATCCTTCTCGATGCAACTCAAATTCTCATACCCACCCGCTTCAACAACTGCAGAGTTGAAGCTCTTGTGTAATGGAATTCCTGCCATGTCATTCACTTCGAGTCTTCGTTTAACATGTGCACTCAACTCTCGATTGCATCGATACAACCTAGACGTCGAAGGGCTTGTCTTATGATTATGGTCTAGATGTACCTTGTTAATCTTCCATATTCCACAAACATCTTTGGATGCGCAGATCCTTGCTTTACATCCACTCTGCATGGTTGCTTGCGGTTTCAAAGAACCGCTTGTATTTTTTATTCTTTTCCCTTCACGGCTACAAACAAATATAACATTTCTCAATACTCCGTCATCATCCTTTACCGAATTTCGTTTCCTGACCGGGAAACCAATTTCATATGCATATCTTTTGTACAAATCAAAAATTTCATTTTCATCCTTAAATTTCATACCCGGCTCGAGCACAATCACGCCATCTCCAACTAACGTATCATCATCCGCTACATTCATAATATCCACAACATCCTCATTATCGGACTCCACCGGTATAATTTCATCCACATATTCCGAAATTTCTTTCCCTTCATCAAACAAATTATTTAACATGTCAAGTAATTTATGTAACTATAATGCAAATAGAAACTAGTCAAATCACGGTGGACTACAATGCAAATAATCGTTTGAAGAAAAGTAGAAAATATAATATAATGGTTCAAATCTAAACGAAAAGAAGCAAAAAATGAACGAAACTAAAATACAGCAAGAGAATTATATAGAAATGTCCAGTGAGTTTAATGTATTCTTCAGCTCCAGTTTGGACATTTTTATATGCTCATCATTGGATCTCAGCAAGTTTAATGTATTCTTCAGCTCCAGTTTGGAAATTTCAGATAGATAACGCAGTTTATTCTCACGTCATCAATCCAAGGGAAAATTAAAACATAAACAGAATTCAAAAGGCAAATTAAAGCATAAACAGTCTACCTACTCATATCACAATGCAAGACCATCTATCAATAACCAACTCAAAAAACTGTAAAGAGAGAAAATCAAATTACAAATCCCCTAAATCCAAACGGTATGTACAGGAAACCAATACCTTTTTCGGTTATCTCTCGGCTGAAAAATGTTAGGATCCTCTACGTCTAGAGTCTTTTCCCACTGCCAGGCCCTTCTTCATTCAATGTAGTACACGCAAACGACCCAATCAACAAGTTAGAATTTTGGATTTACACAATATGCGTAGTAAGTGTCTAATTAACCTTAAATATTAGTCAAATACCTATTGATTAAGATTATTGAAGAACGACGAAATGGGTTTCTCTACCAGCCACTGTAATCTCTTCCAGCCACCGTAGTTCGATTTCTTTTCCAGCTAAAATAGGTATTTGTCATGCGCCATGTACAGAAGAGAAGGGATGCAGTTGGATCTGGTAACAAGATCGTGCCATTGCAACCGGCGTAGGTCTGCAGATCGCGCCACAATGGGAGTTCCAAAGACCTACACACGGGTTTTGATTCGAAATGAAAATTACGAAATGATACGGGTTTTCACCAATGATACGGGTTTAACAACTGGGCTGGGTCGGGTTTAACAAGTGGGCCGATTTTAAAAATTTCAAATTTCACACGTTTTTCACCGGCGCCAATTTTTTTCTTTCTGTTTATTAAATTTTTTTTTTCCATTTTCCACATCATTGTGTCAAGTTTTGTGTCAAACTATGTGGCTATCTAGCATAATTGAATTTTCCTTCACTTGACTTATTAACCCAGTGTATACCATTACGTGCGTGGATAAAAGATCTAGTTGAGTTCTTAGAATCATATGTAATTTGGCATTTGGTCTAGTGGTATGATTCTTACCTGGGGTGCAATGGGTTCTAAGATCGGTTCTTGTAATGACCTAGTCAAAGTAAGCCCAATTGGTCGGTGCAGCCTAACCTCAGCCTTTATAGTTGGTTTGAGCTCGTTAATGAAGATGCTTACCAGAACCTCTTCAGGTAGGTCCACCAATGGTGCTGCTAAGGCTTCGAACGTTCTCCGGTACTCCTCCACAAATCTTACTTGCCGGATTGCCAAGAATTTTTCGCAGGCTTCCTTCCTGCGTTGACCTGAACCTTAGCAATAGTTTTTGCCGGAATGACTCCCATGTTCTAAACGGATCCCTTGCTTCCATCCACTGGAACCATGAAAGGGCGCTAGCCTCGAGACTCACCTCAATTGCCGCCAGCCTCTCCTTCTCTGAGAAACCATTAATCTCGAAGTATCTATCCGCCCCGTACACCCACCCATCTAGATCATCACTGCTGAAAATTGGCATTTCGAGCTTGCGAATACGCAGCCAATCTCCTCCTAGCATGCTTCGTTCGGCGGTTGCCATGGTTCCATCTGCATTGGCTTCCCCCAGCCCTTCCTGCCATTTCCCCTTGTCTTTGCGATCTAACATGGGCCTTGGGAGGGCACTGGCGGGTAGTCTATTTTCCATAGTGCTTCCTGTTCCATCCGCTTCCGTTCCTTTGCTCATGGCCGCCCTAGATAGAGTTAAAGTGGCCATGGTTTTTTGAGTTTCTTCTACAGTCTACAATATTCTTGCCATGCTCTGTGTGAGATGATCCACCGACCTCTCCAAACCACCTAGTCGTTGCAACTCTGATTTCATTTCCTCCACCTCCCTCTCAATGGCTTCCACTTTACTCTCTATTTTCTTCTGGGCCATCAGGATTCGACGTGCTCTGATACCACTTTGTTAAGATCCCAAAACTGAATTAAATTAAGAGAACGGTACTTTTATTTATGAAATGAACAAATTACAGCAAGATAACAATTACAGAGCCAGTTCAGTAAACTCTGTATCTCTATCACCTCTACTTTCTATCCGATTGCCTGCCTATGACTAATTTCTACGTTTATTTATAGCTTCTGATGAACAGATTTTCCCTCCAAATCCTCCCCCTAACAGACTTCTATTTCCTGTAACAAACTTTCAAGTGTCTAACTGCTTCCAGATGGATCTCCAAGCTTCCTGCCCCTTCTAGAATAGGTAAACCGGATGGGAGGCTTATCAATAACTAAGCTTGAAATGAAAGCACGATCAATCATTGGCAGTAACATTGACCTGTACAATTTGCTGAGCTCAATCGAATAATAGGAAATTTAAAAGGAGAAGAACAATAATGCATGCCAACCATGGAGCACCTGTATCTTCAATAAGAAAAATGACTCCGGTTGTCTATTTCAAATTTTCAATTACATCGTCAATTGTGGATCTTATAGTGCACTTTATCCAAAGTCACTCAAATAATTTTGACAATACCAATTCACACAAATAAGCTTTGATTCTTGCTTTGGGTGTGGTAGGTCCTTAGTTCAATACTCAGAATGTCCCAATCAAATTGAGGAGGTCATGAAACCGACAAATTCATTTTTGTTTCTTTCAATTATATTTGGGGGAAAAGATGAATGAACTAATGAAATAGAGGTAAAACAGGTCTTCAAGACTATAGATCAAACTCATGGAGGACAACATATTGTGACTCAAGCCATGTCAAAAATATTAAAGTACAAAATCATCTCAGGAAAAAAATTAAGAGTAACACCATTAACAACAACAGTGGTAATAAAAATCACATGGATAAAATTAAGTCTTCTATTGTAATCAAGTAAATTGCGCATAAACTGCATTAAATGTGATGTTATAGATCAATCAGAAAACTAAACCTCATTGAGCACTACACCAAAGTCTATTAGTGTGCATAGCTCATTATTTTTCCAAAAATCAAAGCAAATATAACAACTGAAATTTCGATATAAAAAGGGAACTTCTCAACTCATATTCAGATATCACTCTTCATAAACCAGTGGACCATTCTCTGTTAATATAGTAGCCTCCGTTATAAAAAAATGCCTTTGATTGCCTAGAGGTTATAGGTCAAACAGTTTTGCAAAAGGTGGTTTTTAAAGCGTAATGGTCAAAAGGCTGGCTAGAATAGCTTATATACAAAAAAGGCAAGAAGGGGTAACTTGTGGAATTTGGTCTAATGGTATGATTCTAGCTTAGGGTGCGATAGGTCCAAACCATTTAGATCTCATCTATTAATGTCCATTTAGTTATTGGATGTGTGACTTTTCATCAAAACTCCATTTACACCCAATCCATCTAATCTGCCACAACATCCAACCATACAATCAACAAACGAAAAAACTTCAAATCACTCCTTTAAACGAATTTAATAAAGAACCTAAATGGTTTAACTAGTTAAAAAGATGACTGAAATGACAACTAAATAAACAATGATGACAAGAGAAAAGTTCATAGAAACTTAGTCATAGTTATAGTTTTACCCCCGATGTTCAGAACAGGTGGCCTACTAATCTAGTCATTGCAAGATACTTTAAAACCCTGCAAAATACTTCCTTGGGAAGGTAGTCATCAACATTTTTTTGTACAACTGGCAAGTACATGATGAAGGGAGTGGACTAGTAAAATTCAGACCATCTAGGTGAAAAGTGCAATGACTAGTAACATTCCATGGACTGAATTTGGGCATTTAATTCTCAGAAATCCAAATTTATTTCTTGTTAGTTTGATTGACTTTTACAGTCCAGTGCCTATTAATACAAAAGTCCTAGCAGAAAGAATCTCCAGTTAAAATATGATCAGCATCTGGCAAACAATTTTTAAAACAGTACCCCAAAAAGGGGAAATTAACAATACATGTACTTAATTAACCTGTAGCGTGCTGTACACTTTTAATTCAAGGAACTCACAAAACCCTGCTTGTTTCTACTCAACTTACTGATTCAATTGGGAAGTATTGATACATGAAGCTAAAGTAGGGACAGTCATTTACTTAAGCATTAATGACCGTATAAAATACTATGCAGATAAAGAATATAATAGACTTAGAACTAATCACCATATAATATACTTAAGCCTTAATCACCATATAAAATACGTGAATAAATAATATGAAGGGTCAAAAACTGCACCGTTAACAGTGGCAAAAACATTGAAAAGACAAGATTACTAAGGGAACTATTACAAACACGTAAAAATAAGCAGTCATATGTAGAATAAAACGAAAAATCGTGTGAAAATTACACAGTATAATCACTAAAATGAACTGATTTTGTAAGATTATACTTAAGTTATTTTCCTGCAAATCGCACTTTCTTGAGGAAACCCCCGTTCAATTTGTTTGGCAAAAAACACAAAAATAGAAAAATAGTGGCGTAGCCGTTTTGTAGTGGTAAAAGAACACATATATATAATTTGGGGAATGTTTCGGAAAGAATGTTAGGTGGTCTTAGGACAGGTAAGGGAATAATGAGAAGTATCATTTTATTATAAATGACTGAAGAGAAATAATAATATAATAAAATCAAATATAGTACACATGAAATAATCAACCACATACATTAGTAAAAGTTATATATTTTTCCTTAACGGGTTAAGGAAAAAAATGTTAATCATAAGCGATAATTCGCACGTCTTTTATGTATACAATAGTTTATTCATGAAATTTGAAATATGTATAGGTGTATATTAGTTCATACATGAAATTTGAAATGTGCTTCTTGAATTTTATCAGATGGCTCCATCCCTAATTGACGGATCTTGGAATAATTTTCGATTGTGTGACGGATTTCCACCTCATAATCTCCATGAAAAAGAGAAGTGTTAAAGTAACCATAAGCATCGGTTGTGCCTAGCAAACCTTCGTGCCTCCATACCTTCATTATATTGTCGAGGGCATTCCCAGTTGGCAAGTTATTGAAATTTTTATCTGTGAAGCACATTTTCCAGCATCCTTTAGTACTCATTGACCCCCACATTATTATGCCATGAATTGCTGGATGTGCATGAAACTCCTTTATGAGTTGAGTTAGGTACAATGCCTGTGCGAAAGAATAACGTTATAGTTAATTATATGAATTATTTTTTGTCACCCCTCTATTCAAAATTTTGAGTAATAGAAGATATTTTGTGAAGTAAATTGTCAACGAGAATTTTTACCTGTTTAGGTCTACGGGAAACATCGAGTTCTGTAATCCAGATTGGCAGTTTTGTGGAGGCAAGCATATCGAGTGAAGCCCGAACATAAGGTAGATTTGGTGTATCAAAATGTGATTCAAGCCCAATTCCCAAAGGCCCATGATAGCCTTGTTCTCTAATCAATTTGATTTTCTCTAAGTACATAGCTGGAGTCGCACATGTATCTGAAGGACGTTCTATTGTGCTGTAGTCGTTCAGAAAAGGAATTGCCTTCTGATCAATTTGATGAGCCATTTGTAGGAAAGTAGCTGATGAATTTCTCCCCATTCTCTCTTCGTAGTACGAAAAATGGAGATTTTCATTGATAACGTCCCAATGAAAAACTTGGCCCGAGTAGTGTTTCATTATAGATTTCATTCTTTTTTCAGTGGCTAATGGTAGATCTTTTCTTGGAAGCCTTTTTACCCATGAAGGTTGATACCTAGGATCGTCCCATAATACATTGTGACCTCGTACCAAGATGTTGTTCTCCTTGGCAAATTTTAGCATGGTATCAGATTCGGAATAGTTTACTTTCCCTGGACCTTTCTCAGTCGAGTACCACTTCATTTCATTCTCAAATACTGTGTACTTGAACCTGGACAGAAACCATTCTTGATAGGCCTTGTTCTCTAAAATGAACTTACTAACTGCATTGCCAAATGGAAATGTCTGTTGTATCTGTTTCACAGATATTTTTGCATTTTCTAATGGTAGGCCTTGAGAATCAACAACTTGGAATTTTACTTGACGCTTTCTTATCTGTAAATATGTTAGACGTAAGGTATAGTCGATTTATAATAAATGGGAAGCAGAAAATCATACTATAGTTAGATATAAAGTTGCTAGAATTTGAATATAATGCCACCTTCTCAATGCTTTGATCTTGATGGGAATCCCATTCCTCTTGAGTAAATGGATGCAATGAAATGCTATCTGCCCATATCTCGGTTGCAGTATCATTGGCCTAAAATGGGAAAAAACCATAACTTGAATCCCAAAAATCCCAAGGAAATAATCCGAACAAGAAAGGAAATATCTTAAAACTAGGGGTGTCAAATGGTTCAACCTGGCATTTTCCAAGAGAATCATGGCCTTGCAGAATCAAAAAATGGAAACTTTTTGTGTACCTGGAAAAAGAGTTCAACCGGACTGGAAACATCAACAACTATGCCACCCTTGAGCATGGACCAACAGCCCTGTTGAGCCATGACCCATCCAACAGGCCGATCCCCGATTTTTGTCTTGAATACTGCAGCAATGTGAGCCTTTCCATGGCTTACTTGTAACCAAGCTGCAAAAGAACCAGATATGCACCCAAAATAAGTAATAATTTGTATTTATTTTTCTTTCAATATTAAGGTAAAGAATCAATGTCACATTTTGCTTCTTTTTTAGAAGAATTTATACCAGATAAGACATAGAGTTTTTCCTCTTCCAAGTGAAACTTCTGTGAAAAACTGTCTTGGTGTCCACTTCTGTCTGAAGCAACAATGTATTTGTTTCCATCCTCGGATTCTTGATGTTCTAATTTTGCATCTCCAAAGGGTGTCCAGCCATTGAGTCCATGTTCCAGTTCTGGATTTAAAACCATGCCTCCAGAGTACTGAGGTTCCATTGGCTTTGCCAAGCACTGAAACAATTTATTTTTACCTCAAATTAATCCAAGAATAAGTTGATTATTTTATGCTTAAGTGAAATTTGATCCAAATGGGAGCTTGCCTCAGCAGTGTATGTGTGATCATAATGCAACGAATATGCTTGTAGACCTATAGATCGCGTACACAAAAATTGGTAAACTCAGTCACATAACAATAAGTTTGTCGATATATACACATCTCTACTTCTCATTAATTTTATCCAACTTCAAGGATTTTGGCCTTTCGAGCAACAAAATAACAGAAAATAAAACACGCGATGAATCTTGTATCTTGAAAATAATGCCAAAACGCATAAAAAAATTTACGAACCTGAATAAACAAGAAAAAACAGTATCAGGAGAAGCGCATTTTTTCCTTGCATAGAGTTCATGACAAAGAGTAGTACACTACTTCAAAATGACAAAGTCGTGAGAATTAGGCATTGAAAAAGAAAAATGAAAGGCAAGAATAAAGATCTGATATCAATAGCTTTTCGAGTTTTACCAGGGGACTGTATTGCAATAGAATGGAAAAGGCTATGAGTTTTGTTCTTGTATATATACACTTATGTTAAGTCCTCAAGGATTCATTGAATAGGCTATACAAAGTAATAGTTTTATTTCTTATTTTTGTATTTTTCATGTGACATATTCGGCTTCGGGTTGCATATGATTTGATCGATTTTTACCTTAATAGTCAATACAGATGTTTATCGATCGTGTTCTTAACTTTAATGCCTCGTTCAGTTACCGCATTGTTTTAATTATTACATTTTCCTCATTAAGCTATGCGATGCTATGGATTTTCCTTCTTCTGTTTGGAGAATGTGATACATATCAAGTTGTGAAATTAAAGAATATTAATAATCCGCGTAAGTATCCTGTCTTCTAATCATTGATGGAGCATAATATTGAAACCTGCAATAAGGATTCATTGAATAGGCTATACAAAGTAACAATTTTATTGGTTATTTTTGTATTTTTCATGTGACATATTCGGCTTGGGGTTGCATATGATTTGATCGATTTTTACCTTAATAGTCAATACAGATGTTTTTCAATTGTGTTCTTAACTTTAATGCCTCGTTCAGTTACCGCATTGTTTTAATTATTACATTTTCCTCATTAAGCTATGCGATGCTATAAATTTTCCTTCTTCTGTTTGGAGAATGTGATGCATATTAGGTTGTGAAATTAAAGAATATTAATAATCCGCTTAAGTATCCCGTCTTCTGATCATTGATAGAGCATAATATTGAAACCTGCAATAAGGATTCATTGAATAGGCTATACAAAGTAATAGTTTTATTTCTTATTTTTGTATTTTTCATGTGACATATTCGGCTTGGGGTTGCATATGATTTGATCGATTTTTACCTTAATAGTCAATACAGATGTTTATCGATCGTGTTCTTAACTTTAATGCCTCGTTCAGTTACCGCATTGTTTTAATTATTACATTTTCCTCATTAAGCTATGCGATGCTATGAATTTTCCTTCTTCTGTTTGGAGAATGTGATGCATATTAGGTTGTGAAATTAAAGAATATTAATAATCCACTTAAGTATAAGTATCCCATCTTCTGATCATTGATGGAGCATAATATTGAAACTTGCAATGAGGATTCATTGAATAGGCTATACAAAGTAACAGTTTTATTGCTTATTTTTGTATTTTTCATGTGATATATTCGGCTTGGGGTTGCATATGATTTGATCGATTTTTACCTCAATAGTCAATACAGATGTTTATCGATTGTGTTCTTAACTTTAATGCCTCATTCAGTTACTGCGTTGTTTTAATTATTACATTTTCCTCATTAAACTATGAGATGCTATGGACTTTCCTTTTTCTATTTGGAGAACGTGATGCATATTATATATAATTTCATACTTGCAATTATATACCTCATTGTATATGACTTGCCTCAAGTTATTGATACCTTCCATAGCAATAATAAACCCAATGTCGAATTTCCAAATATTGATATTTAAGTAGCATCATATCTAAATTCAAATAAAAAATATGCATTTGATGTTATTCTTGAGAAAATGAATAGGGAAAAATAGAGGTGAGTTTTTTGTTGATAGACCTAGGGATACAGAAAAACCTTTTTATACCATGCTTTATTCGCAAGTGTTTGATATCAGAAGATGGTAGCACTTGCAACAACTTGAGGTAGCAATATCAATAGTGCTATGAGGTAGAACCGCTCATTCAAGAGTCAATATTTCACTAAGACTAATGAATCAACAATACAACATATCAAAGTATAGTACTAAAATAGAATTGATTCAAAAGACAAAAATCATAATATGGGATGAAGCACCAATGACCATCAAATACATAAGAGAAATCATCGATAAAACTTTAAGAGATACTTAAACAATTCAGAACCATTTGGTGGAAAAAAATTATATTCGAAGGAGATTTTCGCCAAGTACTACCTATTATCCCAAGAGCAATAAGACAAAAAATAAATGACCAAAATTTTGTTAGTTCACATCTTCGGGAGAAAATGAATTAGCTGCAACTAAATTAAAATATGCGTGCTCAAAGTGAAAATCAATTTGCAAAATACTTGATTTAAATTGGTAATGAATAGAGCTTTACATAGATGTTGACTTCATCAACTTACCAAAGGAAATAGTTATAGCATGTGATGATATTGAAAACTTGGAGTTAAACTTAATCGATGTAAGGTTTTCAGGTTTAATTTCTGATTATATTACACAACACAAAATTCTTTCAACCAAAAATGAGTATGTTGATGAATGAACTAATTGAGTTATTTGTTGGAGAAAGTGAAGAATTTGGTAGCTTTCACAATAGATAATACAAATTGATTTTACCAAGAAAATTTTCCAAATACATTGTTGCCAAATGGTATCTTACCACATAAGTTTATCTTAAAAAAAGTTGTCTAGTGATGCTCTAAGGAATCTGAACCCATCCGACGATCTTTGCTATAGAACAAGAATAATTTGTCATAATTTCAAGAGATCTATGCTAAAATAATCGTTGTACAATAAGCTGAAAAACAATGTTTCCTTCTACGCATTCCATTAATTCTAGCAAATGATGAAAAATATCAATTCAAATTCAAGAGGAAATAATTTTCAATATGTTTATGCTTTGCAATGACCATTAGTAATGTTTAAGGTTGTGAAATTAAAGAATATTAATAATCCGCTTAAGTATCCCATCTACTTATCATTGATGGAGCATAATATTGAAACCTGCAATAATTGAACTTTGGAAATATCTTGATAAAAAAAGTTAGGAATGCAATATGAGTGGATTTGTTCATTTATTTTCATCTGTAGAAAAATTATGTAGTTGTAAGAATTAAGGGTTGTTTGATAGAGCTTTTGAAATGTTAAAATTTTCTAGAATAAAAGCTCTTATATAAGAACTAGTTTTATGCCATGCAATGCATGGCTTGAATTTTATAAAAGGTGATATTAGCATGTTAAATAAGGAAACAAAGGGAGACTGCAAGCAATAAAAAATTGATTCGATTAATTAAACGATTTAATTATATCAATTAGATATTCAACAATAAAAAAATGATTCGATTAATTAAACAACTTGCTTATATTGAATATAGTATTATCAAATACGTCATTTATAAGTAAAATAATCACTTAGACTAAAATAATAATATTTGATATATAAATTGTGAGTTCCAATAATTTGGGTTTTTAATTCATATATCAAAGGAACATTTATCTTATCCCCAAAAAATACATTTGAATTATAGCAATAAGAAATTGAGCCAACAAATTTTTCATCTTAATTATTTTAACATCTAAAAAAATTTTATATATAAAAGAAATTCGATAATTTTTAGGAATTTTTTTCTTATTGTTACTTTTTCTTCTTGATAAATTAATTTTTAAAATAATCTAATACAATTTTTTGCATAAAAGAATGATTACTAAAAATTTTTACGTCAAAACCAAAAAAAAAAAAAAAAAA